TTTTTTTTTTTTTTTTTTTTGGCTAGTCAGTGGCGGAGCTGGGACCTTCTACTGGTCTGTCCCTGTTTTGGTGGTGGGAGCTGCGGTGTGGAGTAGTGGGTGTGGTAAGGACTAAGGCCAAGAAAGGTGGGTCGGCGTCCCTTGGCACAGGACCTTCTGAGCAGGTTAAGAACCTCGGATATTTTTCTCCAGGGCCTGTGGAGCCCCTGAAGATTTTTTTTAGAGCCATGCTTCATGTTTATTGATCATATCTTTTTACATTTACTGAGCATTTACCTTACAAAGGCTTTATAAATGTTATCTATTTTAATCTTTACAATAATGCTGCATATTAGGTGTGGTTATCACCGAACTTTGCAGGTGATACAGAGGTTAAGTACGAGGTCACAGCTGGTAAGGAGTGGATACAGGTCACAACCCAGGTGGTGTGACTGGGTTCTTGTCCGTCATGTTAGGGAGCAGGAGCCACTGATTCTGCCCGAGGGATTGAGGCAGGCTTCCAGAATGATGCGCCCCGGAGGCCATGCCGGATTAGCCAAGTGGGGGTTGTCTGCCTCCGGTTGCTGATGGCTGCTGTCCTGGTTGCAGGTGCCCTGCTGCAGGAGGAGAGGCTGGACGCGGTGACCCTGCTGTACGCCACCTCGCTGCCCAGCTTCTGCCTGCTGGCGGGCGCGGCCCTGGTGCTGGAGGCTGGTGTGGCACCGCCGCCCGCTCCCACCAACTCCCACCTCTGGGCCTGCATCCTGATCAGCTGCCTCCTGTCCGTGCTCTACAACTTGGCCAGCTTCTCCCTGCTGGCTCTCACCTCTGCCCTCACCGTCCATGTCCTGGGCAACCTCACTGTCGTGGGCAACCTCATCCTGTCCCGGCTCCTGTTTGGCAGCCGCCTCAGCGCCCTCAGCTATGTGGGCATTGCACTCACCCTTTCAGGAATGTTCCTTTACCACAATTGCGAGTTCGTGGCCTCCTGGGCTGCCCGCCGTGGCCTCTGGCGGAGGGACCAGACTGGCAAGGGTCTATGACATCTAGGGGAATATGTGGGCTCCTGGAACAGCCCCAGCCTGAATCCAACCTCGGCCAGTGGCCATGGGAAAAGTGGAGAGCAGGCAGCTACTGGGGCCATGGGAGAGAGAGGGGCCTTCTGGAAAGGCCACCTTGGAAGCTGGCATGGGGATTCCCAGACACCCACCTCCTGTCCCTGCCTGCCTCTCATCACAGACCTCACTCACCACTGGATGGTGGGTCCAGACCTGGCACAGTCACTGTGCTTGTCGGACTGATTATTATGATTTAGCATCAACTACTACTCCAAAAATTTGGAAAACCTCACCATGTTCTGATGACGACGATGATGATTCTTGGCGATTGCACAATCCTTCCTCCAGGAAGTGGGGGAGGCAGCTAGGGGGCCCAGGGAAGGGCTTCTTTGTTGCTGGGATCCCCTGGGGATTGGGGTCATCTATGCCAATTCCAGGCAGCTGCTGTAGCCTCACCCCTGGGCCCCCCAATTTTGGGTCTTCCATCCTTAAATAAACTATTTTTGCTTGTATACCTGTGTCATTGCTCAGGGTTACAGCCAAGGAAATACAGGGAGAGCTCTGGGCCTGCTGGCAACCGCCACCCACCCAGAAACGGGGACATCCTTCCTTACCCGTCATAGCCTGTCTGGGTCACCAACCTAGCCCCCTTCTCTAAAGTCCCTCCACTGGCCAGGCCACCATTGCTCATATTCTGGATGGTGGCAGTAGCTTCCTCCCTGCTCTGCTCTGGCCCCTCCACTCCACCTTACACGTAGCCCCAGAGGGATCTTTCTAAAACACACACCTTCTGGGGCTCTATACTGCTTCTGGGACAAAGTCAGAACTTCCTGCCCCAGACCATAAGATCCCCGGGGTCTGGCCCCTGTGGCCTCACCAGGCTCCTGTCTCACTTCTCCTCTCCTTGGGCTCTACCTTCCATCCTCGCTGACTTCCTTCAGGCACCTGGCCTGGGAAGGACAGGCACAGGGTTTCCTGGCCCTGGCCTCCACCCGGCTGGCCTTGTGGAGGGGAAGTGGGCCCAGGCTGAGTCACTCACTACCCACCCTGCCTGTGACTCAGAGATGCCACTGGCCCAGCCCTGTCCCTGTGCAGCCTGGGCATTTCCAGCCTCCGCTCTGAGGCTTGGCCGGAGAGGACAGATTAGATATCTTTGGTTCGGCAGAACCTCACTGGTACCCAGGACCCTTCCCCCATTCAAGGGATCCCACAGCCATAGCAAGATCCTCCATGTAGCACCCTTGCCCTGGCTCCTGGGTCCCCATGGAATGCTTGGCTGAAGAGTGAGCCTATCCCACCCCCATCCCCAAACCCGGCAGATCAAAGCCAGCCCTTGGTGGTTGTGGGGATAGGGCAGGGGGGAATTGGAGCTGTGCTTGGCG